CCACGGATTGAACTCAGGACCTTGTGAGGCAGGCATGGTGCCACTGAGCTAAATCTCCAGCTCTAGTCAAGAATTTTTTAAGACTGATAAAAAACAAGGCACAGTTACTTTTGTGGCTTAGCACTGCAATTCTTACGTAGTGCAGGCTATGGATCCCTGGAGGGTTCTGAGACACTTTGAGAGGGTCCAGGAGCTAAAGACTATTTCATTGATAGGGAGAGCTAGTTTCACTTTGGAAGAGCTGAAGGACTCTAAACCATTACTTTCCAAATGATCAGTGAATGATGGAACAGTCCCACTGAAGTAGTAAAATTGAATTTCTAAAAATGTTAACTTTTTGTGGTACCAGGGATCAAACTTGGGTCCTTGTGCTTGCAAGATAGGCAGGCGCTGGAACCACTGAGCTAAATCTCCAGCCCCAAAATTTTAACCCTTAAATACAAGCCCTTTTCATACTCTTGCTAATAAAACAAAGTAAAAAGGTATACCTTTATGCTGCCAGCAAAAACTATCTTAACACCAAGCAGTAAGGGGGATTATTTGAACTAAATTGGCCACTTTTTTAATTTCAAAGAACAAATGCGTTGAGTATCTGGCAGCTATCTTCATGAACGAAATGAACTGGTCAGTTTAAGAACAACAACTAGAAGAATTTATTGCCAGTGATATTATATTATGTTTTAATATATGTAATGAAATATGCCAACATTTGGAAGATCTGAAGAACTTGGTGAGCCATTACTTTCTGAATGATTATACGAATCAAGCATGGTCAAAGATCCATTTTAATTTAAAACAGACCAGTGGAAGAAAAGTACAAATGGTACAGTTCCAGATTCCACATGGCAACTAGTCTCTAAGGAAGTAACATTTCAGTTTTAGTATAGTGTCAAAGAAGAATATCCATGTATTAAAAGGCATAGCTAATATTCCTCCTCTTCCAACTGCACATCCATAGCAGGTTGGATTTTCGTTGTATATGTCACCCAAAACAGTTCATTGTAGCAGCCTGAAGCATACAGGAGACTTCAAGTTGTTGTCTAATAAACTCCATATTAGCTTTGTAAAAAGGTACAGCTGTGTTTAGAGAAAGTACTTTAACAAATTAACTTTAACTTTTAAATGATTTTTAAAATACTAAAATGGCAACTGTTAGACATGTTAAACAAAAGCTCTTTGGGGTTCTTTGTTTTTTAAATTAAAGGCATGAGACAAGTTTGACAGGTATTAGAATAATGGAAATATGTAAAGCTTGAAACTCAGATTTGTTACCATGCTAACTTATATTCTGTATTATATAGCTCAATCTACTATAAATTGTTTGCACTACGTATAAAAAGGCCACCAGATATAGGAGTCAAATACCTACCTTGTAGTTTCCCCAGATCCAGACATTCCTCTGTTAAAAACTCATGTCTTTTACAGGTTTTACAAAGGTTAATAAAATCTCGAGGGAAATCTCAAGCTAAACACCTCAATGTCCAGATGGTAGCAGCTGATAAACTGGCCCAGTGTCCTCCAGTAAGTTATCTCCACCCATGATGGGATCCAGTTGAAAAGACCTGGTATTTTATTTTGAAAAACCAAAAACACTTCAGATGCCCATCAGGGAGAGAATCCTTAGAGCCGTGCTTGTTCCAAACAAGTAAATTGTCCTACCTGCTTCTGTGGGCCATACAGATACAGATGCTGGCTTACAGAATACGACATGTAGCTCTGCTTGTCCTCACCTTAACACCTAACAGAAGAGTGGAGTTTCACAGATTTGATTTATAAGATGGATCTGTGGGGCTTATTACTCAATTCTGAGGGAGTAAGTTGCCTGTCCTTCAAGAAACTGACCTGAGGCCATGTAAAAAAATTCTGAACAATAAGTCACTCAGACTCTTACTTGTGAACACATTTCTACTCTAATCCATACTTCTAGTTTTCCCTTTTCCAGCACAGCCATCCCAGAGGCTATGGAAGTTATGATTCCATCAATCTGGTTGCTCTGAAGTATGTTAAAATCTTTCATTAAGCTCTTTTTAAAATCTTGAAAAGCATGGCACTGTGTCCTAATGAACTACTGTAAAGTTTAGATCATGTCCAGTTGTCTGTAATTTCAGCTGTTTGTGCCAAATTTCCTGTCGCAATTGTGCCTCATTAACTTTTGAATTATGCCAAAAACAGGCTTCTGTCTATACTGTGCATATTTTTGTTCTTTTTCACCTTTCTACCACAGTATCAATGCTTTTCGCACAGATGAACAACTTTTTTACACTACCAAGCCCTCACTGACTTTCTGGTTAAGCATTCGGTGCTCAAGAGATAGGAGGTGACACACACTTAAAAGCTGCTAAGACGGTCCGATCACAGAAAAGGACCAAGCAGAACACATAAGGGCGGGCAAGTGCCAAGGAGTGCGCTCTCCCCACACCTTTCAGGCGGTCGTGGGAAGGTGGTGGGCACTCAGGCCCGCGCTGGCATTAAGTATGCTGTCCGCAATCTTTCCCTCTGCAGGAGCTGTTCGATGTGATCTTGGATGAGAACCAGCTGGAGGACGCTTGTGAGCACCTGGCCGACTATCTGGAGGCCTACTGGAAGGCCACCCACCCCCCCAGCAGCAACCTCCCTAACCCTCTCCTCAGCCGCACGCTAGCCACTTCCACTCTGCCCAGCAGCCCGACCCTGGCCTCTAACTCACAGGTAAGGGCAGTTCTTTCTCGGTCTTCCAGAGCAGCTGTGCTGCTCCCAGGGACACCACTGGGATCCACACTCAGCAGCCAGCTTGATGCCTGCTCCAGGATCTTAATGGTATCCAAAGTGTGACGCACATCTTGACTGTGTTGTACACCTCTAAGCAAAACAAACACTACAGGCTTTAAAACGCACTCACGACACGGTCCTTAAGACAGGACCCTGCAGTCCAGGCCTGGCCACACCTGCAGCTGCATACTCCCTGGCTCGTCTGCCTCAGGAACAAGGACAACCTAGCAATAAATACAACCTGTTGTCATTTGCTCTCATCTTTCCCCTTTCTTCCCTGATTACCTTACCTCCTAGGTCACTGGATCGAAGCTGGTGTACGTAAAGGTCCTAGAACAGTGATGTCCCAGGTTGTGTCACCTAAGCATTTCATGTTCATTATGGGTTATTATTTTTGGTTATTATTTTTAATCGTCTCCCATGTTCACACAGAGGTAGGGAAGTCTATACCTCATGGATAGAACAAGAGAATACATAAAAAGATAGTATCCCCTCTTCATGTAGTCTTTATAATAAAAGAGGTTGATAACTAACTATATGTACTGTTTGGGGCATTTACAAATTAAAGACCAATACAATACAAACCCTATCAAAGGAATTCAGCAAAGACCACACTTGAGTGTCTTTGCACTCGGACCTCAGAGTTCCTTCTACACCAACGCTGGTCATGCCCAGCTATGTTCATTTTCTTACCAGGGTTCTCAAGGTGATCCGAGGACTGATCGCTCCGCTCCTGTCCGCTCAGCTTCCCGACCTGAAGAAGAACCTTGCCTGGAACCTGTCAGAAAATCCCAGCACCGTTCCTCCTCCTCACACCACAACCATCGCAGTGGCGTGAGCCGAGGCCTCTCCAGGCAAGAGACGTTTGACTCTGAAACTCAGGAGAGTCGAGACTCTGCCTACGTGGAGTCGAAGGAAGACGATTCCCACGAGCCCGTGGACCACCACGCCCCACAGCGTGACCACAACCACAGGGACGAGGCCCACGGAGGCAGCGAGCACAGACACAGGGAGGCTCGGCACCGCGCCAGGGACACCGGTCGAGAGCAGGACCACAACGAGTGCACCAAGCAGCGGAGCCGTCACAAATCCAAGGACCGCTACTGTGACAAGGATGGGGAGGTCATAGCCAAGAAACGGAATGAGGCTGGGGAGTGGAATAGGGAAGTTTACATCCGCCAGTGACTGCCTTTTTGTGGGTTTTTTTTCCCCTCCCAGTCTTGTAGAACAGTGCCCTCCAACAGCCTTGGGGTCTACATTGCAAACATGCCGTCTTGTGTATTCTGTAGTGCTGTCCTTCAACAGCAACAGCGTGAGATAAGAGCATTAACATCCATTATTTTCCTTTGTAAGTGCTGTACACGTTGGCCTGGTCCAGCCACAGTCCCCTGGGTGTGCACTTGACTCTTCAGAAACTGCTGTGGGCCGCGCCACCTGAACAAAACCTATCGCCATCCAGACAATGCTAGCGTTTTAAGAAATACAGATGTGTCCAGCCAGCCAGAAGCAGCACAGATCGAAAGTGGAATCTCTTGTTTCTCCAGAGTTTTAATACCCCAGTACCTGATGGGCATACTCATTCACTCACGGACCACTGTTTCTCGCTGGTACCTCTGGCCGACTAAATTTGGGGACAGATTCAGTCTTGCCTTACACAAAGGGGATCATAAAAGTTAGAATCTATTTTCTATGTACTAGTACTGTGTACTGTATAGACAGTTTGTAAATGTTATTTCTGCGAACACCTTATAATTATATATAATATATATATATATACATATATATATGTTTGATCACACTATTTTAGAGTCTTAATGCCAAGTCAGCAGATCTGCTTTATGAATTACAGGGACTAGAGATGCCCACATTCAGGAAATTTGTAATAACATTGTCTAGACACCTATCTCCACTCTACTAGAAAGTCTGTACATACTGTAAATATGTGTGATTGACTTGCAAAGGTTTGGATTTCTGAATGTACACCATCCTTGTAAATTTATAATTTTAACCATAAATTATGGTAAATATAACCAAATTCCAGAGGTTGTTCTACTCCATACAGTTCACACTGATTGTGACAAACACGTTCTTCGTAGCGAGTGTCTGTTATAGTCACTGCACTGGAACCCGCTGTGCGCGTGTCTGAGTGTAAATGTGTACGAGTGAGTGGAATGCTGCCGACTAATGAAGAGACTGAAATCTAGAACTTGCCCACCTGGCTTCGTGCGTGACTGTGCTGTGTGTGGCTTTGATAATCCATTGAGCAGTCAGGGATTGCAAGGAAGCTTGCTGCCAAAGGTAACTAGGAAAGCGTCCGTCTGCTGCCTCTCTGTTTTACTCCTAGAGAGTAACAATATGGGCAATTTGTACTGTGAGTGTTTCACTGGAAATGTACAATCTGTGTGTGTTCAAGTATTTGTTTTAGTAAGAAACGTTTACACAGCTTGTGGAATTATTTCATAGGAAAATAAATTTTTGTAACTTCTCCCACTTCATTTTCGCACCTCGCCTATTGTCCCTGTGGTTTATCGCCCGCTTATCTACTGTTCCTCCCCATCACCAACCTGACCAGCTTCCCTGTCTGTCAGAACCCAGAAGTGCTTCTTACAACCACAGTTTCTGCTCTGCAGATCCTATCAGGGCAACATGCGGTGACCTGAAGCGAATCAGATGTTAAGAACGTTTTCCTACATCAGACATCTGCTCTGAAGGGGAACCTAGAAGACACAAGCTGCACACGTGATTACACTGCTGTGATCATGCTAAGGCTGAAACCTCCTTTGTCTCTTAAGTGTCCAGTTATGGCTGGACAGGTACATAAGGCAGCATTAGATGTGCAAGGACCTACCATTTGGACTTTGTCTCTGGAAACTGCTTCTCTCTAGCGAATTTTCATCTGTGAATTTAACAAAATAATAGTTATAATAATTATTTTTTGTCTTGCTTTCCCTGATTTTCCCAGGTTCTTGCCAAACATTCTTGGGCTTTTGTAAGTAAAACTATTTTACATTTAATGATTTCCCTACACCCAAGAAAATGAAGTTTTAAAAGTGAGTTATATAGTGTTTTACCAGCTAATACATGAACAATTCCCCTCTTATCTGTACAAATTTACAGAATATTAAAACAGTCCTTTTCTTTTGTTTTTTTGAGACAGGGTCTCACTATGTAGTTGAGACGGACCTGGAACTCACTGTGTAGCCCAGGCTGGTCTCGAACTCACAGTGATCCTCCTGCCTCAGCCTCCTGAGTGCTGGGATTACAGGCGTGCACCACCACGCCCCACTAAAAACAGTCCATTTTTGACAAAAATTTCACCTCATCTAGAGACCATATTGTATTTCAACTAAAACTTCTTTTATAAAACATTTTGGATAAACTTTCATCATACGATGTGGACCATCAAGCCCACCCTTTTCTACATATTGTTTCATCCCGTCTACATCTCACTGGCATTTGCCCTTCTCGCTGCTATCATCAGTTCCTTTGAAAGAGTAGTGCCAAATGCCCATCATTTTAGTTTCTTTAGATTCTTACTTTCTTAAGTTAGTGCAAACCAGAGTATTCATCTCTGAAGATGTCTGAAGGATCAAAGAGCATTTATAATGGTATGTGAAAACTGTACAGTGGTATGTGTAAACTGTGGTGAATTTATAAAGGATTTACGGAATGATACATAGAATTTATGCAGTAAGTCTTTTCACAGAGCAAAGGCTTCCTGCCAATGTGCTCAGCTGCAGAAATGTACTTACTAGATCATCACACCCATCTCCGTTCTTCCTGCACTTCCTCTCTTGCTCACTGAAGTGAAAAGTCACAAAGAGGTGTAGCTAAATCTAGGGTGTCCTGGTTATACTGGACTCGGGGACAGTGCCACATTCTAACAAGGTCTACTGCGCATTCCTGTTAAACATTCACTGTGGGCTACACGGAACTGTTTCACAAACCTGGTTTAAAGTCGCTCACAGAAAGCAAAGATCTGGCTTCCACACTGTTATTGGCAGTACGTCGACTTGAGAATGGTCCTTGGGGTTGAGCATGTGACAGAGTCCGCAACACTTAGCACTGCTGGCGGCTCTCCCTGACAGGCGGCGCTGACTAGTTGCTGTCCCTTCAGAATTCTATTGTATCTGATTTAAAAAAAAAAAAAATGCTCAAGGTAAGCGAAAGGTTGTCAAAAAATGAGCTAGTCATCTTTTTCCCGCCTTAATACGTGCAACACTTTTTTATTCATACTATTTGGAATTTTATTCATTTTAAAATGTAGTCCATCTTACTGATACAGTTAACTCATCCTTTTCCTTGTGTTCTGTCAGGTACTGACAGTCCTGGATGCTCTGATTTTACTAAAATAGGCATACTGTTAAGAGAAAACGGGCCCAAGCTGGGTTCTGACTCAGTTTTGGTTTCTGCCAAAGAGTATTTTTCATTATTTGTACTTCTCTTTGCTATTGAAAATGTGACACAAAGTTCTGAAGTAAAATGTACTCAATGTTGAATTTAAATATTTTTGTTTTCATACAAATATCTATATTAAAACTATGTCACAAGACACATTAACTCTCCACATTTCCCTGATTCTCCCCTTTACTGCATTTTTTTCTTACATTTCTGTGTTCCATGAGTATATGTTGTATTTTCCAATTACTTTAATTTTCTGTCCTGTTTCTGAGCAGGTAAAAGATGCTTAATGAATGACAAGAACAATTTCAAGCTGCAAGAGATTCGGATGAGTGACTGCTTACATCCCTCTCTGTGTCTAGGTCCGTTAAGTATCATTTGATCAAACAGAAGCAGTGTTTTGCGGGCAGTGGTTATATTTTCATGTTCACTGGTATTAACCAAAAATGTACAATACAAATTTGCTGCCAGGCTGCTTTCCCATTTTCATCCCAGCTTAGCACAGGAGAAGAAGTATTTTACAGTTTCTTATAATACATTTAAAATGTGAGGAGCTATGCTGAGGGCTAAGTGCCACGGGTAAACACTGTTTCTGTTCAGTCCAATGACGATGAGGGATGTAAAGAAATCATCTGAATCGTATGAAGCTTGCAATAAATTTTGCAATTCATGCTGTTAAAAAAAGGTCTCTATGTCCAGGATACTTTCAAAGCATGGTGGTGGGGCTCTGCGGGGCTGGCCAACTAGGAGGTCAGTGTCTTAAAGAGCAAGAAGCAGAAGACATGGGTACTAGGGGTGTACACAAAGCTCAGAGGTGGCTGTACAAGAAAAGTTTTAAAGAAGAGGCTCTCTGGGCTGGGGATCAAGGATCTGAGTTCGATCCCCGTACCAAAAAATAGAAAGAAAAGGCTTTCCAAAGATCTTATGCATGACGCCTGTTGTGGAGACAATCAGTAGTTATGTGAGAAATTTCTAAGGAAAACCTATGAGGAAGGAGTCAAATTAGTATTAGGCAACTGATTCTAATTGTCTACTTCGCACATCCAAGGCCCAGTAACTTGGGTGACTTGAATGAAAACCAACGAAACAGTCTGATGTGTTTACAGCTTTTAATCTACAGCTGTATTGGATATTTTAACAGATCTTACCTAAAAAGCAGGGAGAATGAAAGAACAAGCCTAAGGCTACAGTAAATTCTTTATTTTTAAAGCATACACACTGGCTACCAGAGGGATGTCTGGTCACTCCAGCAGATGATGGTCTTGTTTTGTCTGAGTTTAGATCTAACCAGAAGTGGGTTCCTGATCTATCACAGACACAGTTGTCAGGGAGGTTGGTGCTCTGCCCGACTCCTCACCGCCAAGTCCAGCTGAGAATGCCAGCAGTTCTAATCTGTCAGAAGCTGGTCTTCTCATTCTCCCCAAGCATCTTGCACAGCATTCCAACACAGGCCGAAGAGTGCCCCAAAGTGGGATATGTTCACTTTCCTATCTACAATTAAAGGAAATTTTCAACTTTTTTTTTTTTTCTAGTTTCAAGACTACCATTTAGAAGAGGTCCAGACTTCATTTAAAAGAGGGTGAACAGGGCCGGGGATTTAGCTCAGTGAAGCTGCCTACCCAGCAAGCATAAGGACCCAAGTTCGATCCCCATACCAAAAAAAAAGAGGGTTAAGATATAATAAACAGTCAAGTACAATACTTACCTTAGTTACTGGCACACAATACATCTACTTCCCAGGCCCCGCGTTCTTAAGGAAATAACTACTTAGAAACTTGGGAACATTATTAAATACTAATTTTTAATATTAAAATATTATTTATAAATTAAAACAAGACCCCCAAATAAAAATGTTACATGCATCTGTAAGTAGCTTTATCTTTATACTCTTCTATATCCTGGAAGAAAAAATTATCCAGAATTTCATAACCCCCCTCAACACATTCCTCTGTGTCTGATCCCTGGTGAAGCCACTGGCAGCCTTCCATTTCCTTAGCAACCACGCCATCACTCAGTTGGCCTGACAACACTTTGGTTTGGGGGGTACAAAACAGACAGCAAAGCTGTGCAATTTTCATTTCTCTGGTGTGCTTTTCCATTTTAGAAATTTTGCAATAAAAAACCCTATACAATCCTTATTTGCCAGCTGGATCATGTCTTCTGCTCTGACATCTCTGAGAGCCTCAAGATCAATGTGCTGTAATGGTGCGGCAGATGGATCGAACCGCTGTAGCTGCCTCAGCTGTTCACATGACAAGCCAGCTCCCATCATCCCTTCGCCTCCAACCTGTGGCTCCTACCGGGAGAAAAAGAACTATGGATGAGTGCTGTGCAGTTACCAACGAAAAGATAAACTGACAGCTGGGGGTAGTGGCACAGGCCAGGAGAGCTGAGTGCTATGCCAGCCTGGGCTAGGTAAAAAAAAGACACAATCTGCGTTATACCCATCACATCTTCCAAACTAGAAAATGAGTAAATGCTTTTCTTTTGTGCAATGTACACACTGCTTTTGAGTAGTAGAGCAGAAAAGCAGCACCATATATATGGTCACCCAATTAAAGGAAGACTTACTATCCTACATGCTCATCAGGTCCTGGGTGACATTATACAAGGCCTGAACTCACAAGTCAGAAACACGAGGTTGGAAACTGCAGCTGTCGAATTTTAGCTGTATGACCTTAAACAAGTAACTATACCTAAACTCATTTGTTAAAATCTGTAAAACAGATAACGTATGCTCAGTTCTGAAAAATAGAGAAGATGATATCCTGCCTGGTATACAGTGGGAATGCAGTAAATTGAACATGGTCATCCATAAAGCAACAGATAAAAGTCAACTTTGCTTAGCACTTAATCAGACTTCCGAAAAAAGTTCTTCAGATCCCAGAAATGCCTTTCTCTTGGTTTTATGTGGCCTTGAGAAGAAATATTAGAAAGGGATGCATAAATTAAGGCTGCATAAATTGCCTTAGAAGAATACTGAATCCAAACAAATTCAGTGACACTTGCAAACCATTACACAAAAGATCCATAATCCTGATTTCAGTCACCATTCACAGCCACATGTTTGTGTATCAGACATATGTTTATGAAAACGGTTTATTAATCCATGGTGTGAACAGAAAACACTTCCAGATATAAATTCTAAGTGAATTTTGAAGTCTTCCTTTCATCTATCACTTCTGAGTCTAGAAACCACTTCTGGATTTTTATGTATTCCAATTACCCATTAGAATTCTGCATAGGAAGGTACTAAAGTTAGACATTCAATGACTAAACATTAAACATGATTACAGATACAATCACAAGTATTATAAGGCTAAAAACTGAATCGCAGTCTTAAGTTTAAGAAAGCTTCTTCAATGTTAGATTTTTATATAATAAATTATAAAGAAGCAATCATCATGAACATTTTTTTCCTCTCTTGGTCTTTTAATATTCCAATTAATGAAGTATGTTTGGGCTTTGATGTGACAGAAAAAATGCTCAATACTTTTTCATAGAAGAAAAACATGAGACTAGAGTGGGGGGCTTTGAAAACCAAATGCCAAGTCCTAGGAACAACAGGTAGCAGAGGAATAAACAGGTAACAGAAATCACCGAGCTCTGAGCCATTTCAGCTTAATAGCAACATACAAGTGTAAAAGTCCACCATCAAGACATGCAAATTCCGAGGTGAGTTGGAAGAGGATCTGAAAGGACAGATTTCGTGTTTACTACAGCATTTACTGCAGAAGTTCTAGCTCACATATTTCGTCATGGAAGACCACTGCCACACTTCGGTTTCTGAGATTTCGTCCGTCGGCGCACAGAGGAGAACTGAAGCTGCTCTTACCTGGGGTTGAAGCTGAAGGCAAGGAAATGTGCCGAGGGCCCAGGCCACCTGCTCTTCGTTTTCCTCCAGGGTGATAGTGCATGTGCTATACACCAGTGTGCCTCCTGGCTTCAGCAGCTGGACTGCCTAGAGAGAGCTCTGTCAGACCTGCGTACCAAGGCCACGTGTGTGAAGGGGCTTTAGAGCACAACACACGACACCTTGCGAGTATCTGACTTAAGTAGAGCACAGTACTTGCATTCAGGACTAGCTGCATTTCACTGCCTTACAGCTCTCGGACTTCATTCTCACATGCAGTATCTTCTTATGTCGGGATACCAATCTTATTTTGAAAATTCACAAACTTACATTTGGAGGCCAAACCTTCTTTCTGAATTCAATACTCCTGTTTAGCTGCCTCCTCAATATTTCAGTTTCCAAAACACGCTCCTGCCTTCTTTCTGAAAACTACCAGGGTCTTTCCACCCTTGAGATGGTCAGATTCTGCTTTACGCCTCTCTCACGTTCATCGTGCGTCAGCAAATCCTAGAGGTTCTACCTTCAAAATATCCCAATTTTGACTACTTCTCACTACTCACTGTTGCTTTGGTCCAACCCTCTTCGCCGCTTGGAGTAAACAGTTTATTTGGTCTTCCTGGCTTCCTTCCGGTTCTCCCACCACTTATTCTCAATGCACAGCCAGAGTAGACCTGCACTTCGCCTCGGCCCCACACTCTGCCAATGCCTTCCATTCCCACCGAGTCAGAACCCAAGTCCTGAAAGAGGCCTCAAGCCCTGCCCAGACAAGTCTCATCCTGCCTTCCTGACTTCCTCTACAACATCTCGCTCTGGCTCACTCTGCTTTAGAAGCACTGGCCTCCTGCTGTCCCTGGTACGCACGGCAGGGCAGGCCCACTGCAGGGTCTTGGCGCCCAGCTGGAGCCCTCTCCTCACTCTGCTCACCGGTTCCTTCCGTCATACGTCACCTCTGCAGCAGTGTTCTTCCTCACACCCAGTGTAAAACCCAGGTTTAATCCCCAGTGCTAAAGAAGGAGCTGAACAAACAAGCGTGAGCTGACATAAGGCAAGCTCCCTGTATTTACAATTGGCATTCTCAGTCTTGCGTTTGCGGTAAAATACATACAACGTAAGACTCACCATTTTAACCAACTCAAAGGATATAAAAAGCATTAAGTACACTGTACAACTCTCTGCATCTCCAGAACTTTTTCGGTCTCGGATGGAAACTCTGCAGCCATACCACTGACCCTCTACTCTCCCATCCCCCACCCTTCACTCCCTAGTGACCCCTCTCTCTCTCTGCGTTCTGTGAATTTGCCATTCTACTGGCCTTATGTAAGTGGAATCGTCCAAATTAATTCTTCCTCTTATGTCTGGCTTATTTCACTTAGAGTAACACTTCAGGGTTCGTCCACATTGGAGCCTGTGCCAGAATTTCACCTCATTTTAAAGCTGAATAATCTTCCACGGATGGATGTGTTTATCTGTTCATCTGTTAATGGCCTCGAGGGCTGTTTCCACTTTTGGGCTACAGTGAATACTACTGCTCTGAACACTGCTCGCAGTGGCTTAAACATCAAAATACCCAAGCCAACCTCCTTCACACAAAAGAACACCACATACCACAGAAAAGAGTTTTCGCTGTAGTGGCTGGTATGACGTCACTTCCTTCAGAGTCCAAGTACAAGCCATGTTTGGCCTCTGCCCCATTCCACTACAGGGTGCATCAAGGAGAATTCGGTCAAAAGACTCTGGTAAGAATGGAGGTGCCCCTACACAGAATTATAAATATATTTGCTATTTGTCATATTTGGTCTAGAATAAAAAACTTTTGATACAAGCAATGACCGGATATTTAACACATAATACATAAATACATAAGTACATAAAAATAATAATAATAAAGGGCTGGAGATGTAACAGTGCAAAGGCCCCGAGTTCAATCCCCAGTACCACCAAAACCAAAAATTAATATATTATTATTTGGGATAAAAAATACAATTAAATAATCTTTCTCTTTCAGTGGCTGGTGAAGCTAATACTGACATATTTAATATGATTTGGAGCAAGGTTTAAAAATATAGTTATTATTGTGGGGATTTTTAATATAGTATAAACCTAGACCCAATCAAATGAGATCCTGCACTCCATATATAAAAAGCACAGTTCATCAGAACTAACACTGAGAATTAATTCTAGTTATTCTGGAAATTGATTCCTACTCCAGAGAGCTCCAGAATTAGTCTGTTCAGGTACAGCATGGGTTCTTGTTCTACTGTTTCTTGTTCTTATACCTGACAGTCCAGCTGTGGACTAGGAGGAGCCTTTATCCCTGGATTCCATCTTGTACAAGTAACCCTGTGCACTCATTTCAATAATTTTTTCCATTCCAATTCCTGATCTGGACATGTCATAAAAAAAAAGGTTCTGTATGTACATTTATGTTATCCCTACAAGCAAGACACTGCTTCTGACTGCTTTTGTTTAAAGCTACTTGATCCAACAGAACCCAGAGCAATATTCCAAACTCCACCTGAATGTTACCTGCTTTTTTCTGACTGCAAAGCTATTAGATACAAGCCATTATCAATTTACCTCTCCTCCCTCTGTAACCATCTTTGCTCGCTTACCTATTACCTTAGAAGAAACTGCAAAGAAATTATCTTCTGGACACATATTGATAAATGCTGTGGAACTACTGTGCCAGTCTACACTTCATTTATCACAAGTGTATTTATTTTCCCAAAATCTTCAACAAACGTGGTTTTTACTGAACATGTGTTTTTATCTGTACATGGTATATCCTGTCTGCCCTATTTCTATTAAGGCTTCTTACTAATTAGAAGAAAAGACACATTGAAAAGGGTAGGAGGGAGTTTTATGTTACTCACATCTCCCCTTTCACCCAAGCAGCACAGAATAGAGAAAAACCCTCTGTTTGAGGGAAAGAAAGGAATGTGCTCAATAGGATTTTACCTCCGGTCCCAGTAACAGGCCCATCCTAATAAAACCAAGTGTCAGCAGGACCCCACAGCCTCGTCTTCCAGTCCAGTCCATGTGGCCCCACACTCCCAGCTTGTTCCAGCAGACCCCAGCACTGTGCTGCCCTCATCAGGAACAACCCTAAGGGTCCATGTTCCAGGCTGGCTCTTGTGGCCCCCAGACCTGCACAACCTTTATGGACCTCCTAGGCCAGTACCTGCGTACCCAGCCTCTAGGCCAGGCCTTGTGGATTCTGCTCCTGGTCAGTCCCCACAGCACCAGGGTCTATGGTAATCACCATGCTTTCAGGTGCAAGGTTAACACTCATGATTGCAGATGTCAGACTGATCCCTACAAACCAAGAACCTGTCTACTCTGGTTCCAAGTCCACTTTAGTGGACCTGGGGTCCAGGCCTGCCCTACTAATTCCTGGTGCTGGACAGGACCCCACAGACTGAGGCTCTAGGTCAGTGATGGTGAACCTTTTAGAGACTGAGTGCCCATGCTGCTACCCTAAACCCACTTATTTGCTGCTAAGTGTCAACACTGCAATCGAACCTGAACACTGAGGTTTTGTTTCAGGAAAAACAACTCATACACTTGGCTCACATGCCAACTACAGCACATGGGCCATGGGTTCACCATCATTCCTCTAGGATCCCCAATCCTAACTCAAACTTCAGGCCAACCCCTATGGACTTCCACACAACCCCCAAACCAAAGGTGCTGGCCTGACCCATTGACAGATCAGCCCCTGTGGACTCAGGAACCAGGACTATCTCACCTCCTGGCAACAGCCCGTACTAAAGCTCACTCATCCCAGTGCTACATACATCATCTTCAAGTGAGCCCACATGGACATCGGCTCTAGACTCACTGCTGCAAAGCTGACCAGAAGGTCCACTGCGGTGGACCCGATCGTCACAACGGCTTACCCAATGTGTCAGGTCACCCTGTCCAATGATAGCAGCAGCAAAACAGCTCACAGATAATGCAATTTGGGTTTCCCAGAATGGACAGAGCTGAATGATGGAAGGCATTCCTACACAAAGCCAGTTCACAAAGACTGCGAATCCCTACCTCTTGAAAAATGCAAACACAAATCCATTGCCACAGGATTAAGAACAAATGGAGAAACACAGTCCTAATAAAGAACAAAAGCATCCGGAATCCAACCTCAAGAAATGAAGATGAACTACTAGACAAAGAAATCAAACAGACACCACAGAAATATAAGAGATCATAAAAAACTATTATGAACAATTTTATACCAAAAATTGGGCAACACAGAAGAAACATAATCCTAGACACAAAAACCCACTAAGACTGACTCATGAAAAAACAGAATTAATGGGGAGGGGAAGACGGGGTGAAGGGAGGACACGGACAAGGGGAAAAAATGAGAACCAAGACCTGTCATGTAAAGGTACAAGATCCCAATGATGAATGTAACTGTACTGTATACCTAAAATGTACCAATAAACTCAATGAGGAGAAAAAAAAAATTTAAATAAACTAAGACTGAATCTATAAAGACAGTCCTATGCCTGGATGACCTCACTAAGGGGTGCTACTACTACTCTTTTTGGTTTTTGGGGTACCAGGAATCTAACTTGGGGCCTCATGCTTGCCAGTCACTGTGCTGCTGAACTACTTCCCTGGCCCTACTAATCATTCAGAGAGAAACTAGTATCAGTAATTCTCAAACTCTTCCAAAAAACTAAACAGAATTTTTCCAAATTTATTTTATGAGGCCAGCATTACCCTGATATAAAAGCCAGACTATAAGAAAATTACTTCAATATCCTTGAAAAACACAGATGCAAAAATCGTCAACAAGATACTAGAAAATTGAACTAGCAACATGAGCAATTGATTCCAGAGACGCAAGCACAGCTCACATACATAAATCCACAAATGCGGTATGCTACATTAACAGGATGAAGGACAAATCTTTAGTCATCTCAATAGATGCAGAAAAAGCAAGGGATAAAAAAAACAATGCTTTTTCATGATAAGACTCTCAGCAAACAAAGCATACAAGGAATATTCGTGAACACAAGAAAGGCTGTATATCATAAGCCCACAGCTAATATCAAAATCAGTGGTGAAAACTTGAAAGGTTTTCTCTGAGATAAGATGAAAATAGCTATTCTCACTACCTTTCAACACAGTGCTAAATTACTAGAACAATTAGGTGAGAGAAAGAAATGAAAGCATGTATTTGTTAGTGACATAATCGTGTATATGAAAAAAAACTCCATCAGAAAACTGTTAGAAATGATAAAAAAAATTCAGTAAAATTTCAGGATATAAAGTCAATATACAAAAATCAGTAGCATTTCCATGCATTAACATTTTCCATAAATATTAAGAAAATAATCTCATCATCAAAACCACCACAAGTAAATTTAACCAGGAAGATCAAATATCTATAGTCAAAAAATTTAAAAATTGTTAAAAAAATTAAACACAAAAGATGTACTTATTCCTTGGATTGGAAAAGCTTAATTGTTAAAATGTCCACACCATCTAAAGCAATCCACAGATTCGCTGCAATCCCTAACAAAGCATCAATGTCAGGGCTGGGGATTCAGCTCAGTGGTGCCGCTGCCTGCCTGGAAGCACAAGGACCTGAGTTCAATCCCAGTATCAAAAAAAAAAAACCCAAAAGAAAAAAATCCCCACAGAATAAAAAAATAAAATCCAATGAATGACCAAGGATTATTGAACAAAAAGGAATATAACTAAAAACTTCATGTTGCCTGATTTCAAAATACACCACAAACCTATGGGAATCAACACAGCCATGATACAGGAAAACAGACATATCAACCAACGGAGTAAGATGGAGTGTCAAAATAAATCCATGCAAGAGCATGCCACGACCGGCCCAAGTGAGCGGCCTGTGGATGGCCCTGACTAGCACAGTCTGTCCAGGCAGCCCCCCACCAGCTTGCCACGGGAGCCGTGGCAGTGGCCAAGGAGTTGGTGCGGGGGGGGGCCGAAAGTAGCACCCAGTGGGGCTGGCCCAGAGGAGTGCCCCCGGAGAGATGTGGGACATGTGGATTGGGAATATGAATTCGTTTGGAAAACCAGTTTGGGGGTATGAACGTGATTTCTGATGAAACTGGATTGGGATAATTTTCATGATTTTTGTATATTTATATATATTTGTGTTTTAAAATTTTGCATTTAACTTAAAGTGCCAAGACAATTTGCTTATTGCAAGGTGGTTCTGGCCACCTCAATGGATATGTTCCTGCTGCTTTACTTCAGTGAATGCAACAAACGTGATGAGAGCACTGAGAGAGGACTTCCTGCTGGGGATGTTCTATCACCAGTGCAAAAGCCTCATGAAGGTCCTGGAGAAATGGGGAACAGCCGTTCCTCAAAACCATCAAGAGAAAATCAAAGAGATGTTTAAAATCGATCAGTTCAATTTAATGGCAAGTGAAATGACTACACTCACAGAAGTTTACCAGATGTCAGGTTAGAAAGGTGTAAAACAAGGGTGTATCCAGATAATCTTCCAACAACAAGCCTCATGAACTGTTTTCCACAATGAGGCTCGGGGCACACTTCTTTGAACTGTTCATGGTGTCATCAATCACTCACCAAGACACATGGTAAAAGAAACTGTTCCAGTAGACGATACCAGTGAAAGGGACTTTTTGAAAAGACCTCTAGAGAGTTATGTGAAAAAACTAAGTGCCAGTTCATGTAATTCGAATGGAACAGCAATCTGGATTGATCAGAGCTAGGTTAAAAGGAGCTGCTATCTCCAAAG